CGCTAATCTGAATTGGTCCAGGTGTTCTCAAAATATTTCACAAAAAAATTTGTTTCGGTACATATTACATAGATGTTTATTTACAATCCAAGAATTTTTATTTCTTCGGTACATAATACATACGTATAGATGTTTATTTATAATCAGAGAATTTTTATTTATTATATAATTTAATACGTTTTACAATATAATACTGTCAACCTTTATAAGTTTTGCTTTTTTTAATTTTTCATAAACAATATTTGACGTACGGTCGGCCAAGAAAGTGGTCTACCAGTTTTGACAACATTTCCCGTGTCTTTAAAGCATCGCTAAGGCGAATCTTAGAATTGCATACAAACAATAAAAGAGATGTACAATGCTGACGTGTTGTCGTAGAGCACAAATGTTATTTTGACCTTTGCAGCCTATGCATTAGATAATAATTTGCAACAACAAATAGTCTTCACAATATTTCATAAATTAAAAATTTAAGTAGGTCACTTCAAAGTGGAAACTATTTTGTTACGAAAACTCTTTTACTGAAAAAGAATATATCACTTGACAATTCATGTCAAATATTTTCTCGGCATTTTCCGTAGGTATTTTCCTAATTAATTTACACTACAATGCCCCGAAATTTATCCATTAACGAAAGAGCACAAATAATCGCATTACACAATGATGGTTTGAATATTAGTGAGATTTCTAGAGAATTAAATGTGTCGGTAAGTATTATTATGTCTGACGTGAGTTTAATGTAAAACCTCAGACCAAGTCCGAGTGTAAAAAATTTTTTTTATTTTTTCTGTTCATATTTTATTTTTGATTATAGAGACAAGCTGTCCGTCTTTGAATAAGACGAGAAAGCGAGGAGGGGAATTTGAACGCTCGGAGTCGTAGCGGTCGTAGACCTGAAATATCAGATACTCAGCGAGTCTTCATGAGACGGAGTTATGAGGAATCTGGCTTTATACCAACGCGTTATTTTGCCGACATATTTGACGTGACTTTCCAAACCATTAGAAACCATTTACATTACATGGGCTTACATCACAGGCGTTATTCAAAGAAAATTTATATGACTGACGCTCATAGAATGGCCCGATTAAATTTCGCCATAGAATATTTGGATTTTGATTGGAGTAACACTGTTTTCTGTGACGAGAAAACTTTTAAATCCAGTCAACACGGGCGTCTACACCTATGGCGATTCAATAAAACGCGAAACACGCAAAATCATGTCGTGCCAAATAGAGAATCGGGTCGTATCTCGGTAAATTTGTATGGATGGATGACTGCTGATGGTGTTGGAGACTTGACCTTTTTGCCACCACGAGCAACGGCATCAGATTATGTTGATGTTCTCCAAAATGCTATGTTGCCATCCGTCCGGAACGTTTATCCAGAAAATGAAATGCGTCAATTTAATTATTTACAGGATAACTGTCCCTTACATAAAGCAAGGGTAACACGTGCTTGGTTTGATGCACATCCGGAAATAAACTTGATACCATGGCCTGCAAAATCGCCAGATCTCAACCCTATTGAAAATATGTGGGGTCTTATGGTTCAGAGATGGTGTAACCGTAATGAACGAACAGCAGAAGCACTACAAGGGCACTGCAATGATTGGGAGGAAACACGTGGGTCTGATATCTGCTCAAGACTGGTGGGCTCGATGAGGGAACGTCTCCAAGCTGTTATAGAGGCAGATGGCGGCTACACAAGATTTTAAGAATTATAATTTTATAAAAGAATTGTATATATTTTTTAACAACCAAAGAATTAGCATTTTCACTATCTCTTCTAGTTTTAGCCCTTGTCTCGCACTAAGCTATGGGTCGGCGCAATATGTTTTTCGTCGCTATTCATTTCTGTTATCCGTTATCTCAGTATATTCAGACCTATAACACGCATAGCTTCTTACGCATAGCATTTCACTACCTACTGATTTTTTTTTATTTGTATTAAAATATAATTAATCTACATTCTAATGTAGGATATTTGTAGACTATAAGACTTTATTTACGATATTCTAACTCTAAAGTATTTAAACAGACAGACAGAAAAAAATTTTTTTTGGCTTCTATTAGTCTTGTGAAGGCCGTCCATATATTTTTTTTCCAAAATATCTTACAAATGTAACCTTGTTACATTTTTATTATAGGTATAGATAATTCTTGTCAAAGGTTACGTCAAAATGATGAAGATAGCAATAATGACGTGTACTTGACGTGTCAAAAAATTAATGCTACGGAAAATCAACCTTGTTGTTAGTTGACGTAACACGCGAAATTCAACCTTAGGGTGGTAGACCACTTTCTTGGCCGACTGTACTTGCCATATTTGCTTACGGTAATAAGAATGCCTAAAAACGCCAAATGGACAGAAAGAGACGGGCGGAATTTCAAAACCGGGTCTCCTGCCCTACCTTTACAACAAAAAGTTTTTATAGTTCATTCCTTTTTTTTAATTTAACTTAATACTTTTGTACAATCGCGAGGGCTCCACACTTTCTAATTTAAATCTATGATAAAACTTGCAGAGACACAAAAATACAGAACAACGCATATGTTCCGCCACTGCGCATAAAATATTAAGTTGGAACATATTAAGAAAAGGGTTGAATTTGTTTTGTTGAAAATATGACAAACTCAAATAAAAAATTATTATTTGTACACCTTGTATCATAATAAATATAAACGCTCAATTAAATGAGAATCCCCGATCTGCCTTAGTCATGCCAATATCAAACCGGTCAGCCAGTAACACTACAATTGCATCAACGGACAGTACGTAATCCATTTTCTGAGATATCTACTATTCAAATCCTGTTATTGGTAGTTTATGCTAAGCGAATGGAATACATTTACAGCACTACCGATTTATGTCCTTGTGTAATGAATGACTCTTGCAATTTAAGTATATATTTCAACGGTTGAAGTACTAATTGAGCTAAGCGATATTTGCTGATTCCAAATAACGATCCAGCTTATTGGATCGCCTTGTATCGATCGGCGTGAATTATAACCAAATAACAGACAAAATGTCGCTTAGACGAAAGACGAAGATCATATTACAATTAATTATACCGATAGCGTAGTTCAATATTGCATATAGTACAGGTTTTCCGATTTCACGGGAGGGGATTTTAACCTATTTAAAAGTTGGGGTTAATACTAAAGCAAAGACAAATATATAAAAAATACATGCCTACATTGCAATGATTCTAAATTTATCATATCTCAATAATGTTAAATTATAATTTTTAATAATTATTAAAAATAATAATATAAAATATAACGTAGACAGACGGGCAATAAGTGTAAAGTTCTAACATATTTGAGAGCTTTACCAGCCTACCCTAAGAGAACTAACAGCAAATACGAATAAAAAGGGTGATTTCTGAACAAAGCTTCCTGGCATTAGATCTATAGAAACTTCGGCACTACAAGTATAAATCCAAGATAAAATACACAATTATCGACCATAAATAAATCAGTCTATCATTAATTCCGTACTTTAAGATTTTATACTTAATAAAAAGGGATAAAATGGAGTCGGCGGAAAGGTACGTCGTTAAGTATGCGCATATATGCTAGAAGATACTTTTGAGATAAAAAGTTGCGAGGAACATAAAATTTCCATTATCGTTACGTCCGATTGCCCAATCACAGCTAAAGTATTAGTTCTAAAATTAACAATATGTAATTCTAATAAATAACAGTATAACAGTAAATCACAGTGAAAGAACCTGAAACCGGATGGAAAGCAATGTTGTGAGGGCCCATGATGTAATTAAGACAATAGGGAAAAAAATATGAAAACAGGTAAGAAACAAAAATAATAAAAGAGCCCTTGACTCAAATAGGGATCATAATGAAATAAAAATAATTAAAATCGAACTATCTTTATTCATATCTTATATTGTGAATCCAGTTTTCGTAGAAAGACCTCTGGTAGGACTGATTTTATTCCCTAATTTATAATAACATACAGGTGCGTCTATTTCTTAAAGTAATTTCAAATAATATTTTAGTCACGTTCCATAAGGGAAAATGTAGTTACTTAAAATAATTACAGAAAACATATTTATATTAATATTTTCATAGCCTTAACGTAAACAATTTTAGATTTTTAGAGATAAATATTTGAGTAGTCCAGAGCAAACCCATCCCTTTACAAACAATACCCTATTTAAATGTTGTACAGTCAAGAACACATTACATTATGCAAAATGGTGTTATTTATCTGATAGGAGTTGTGTTCTAATATGTTTGAGTAGCTCGGTGGCGTAGTGGATTAGCGCCGCGGCCCGTGATCGTAGTTGTTAAGCAACTTTCACAAGGGTCGGTCACGGGATGGGTGACCAAAAAATTATTATCTCGAGCTACTCCGTGCTTCGGAAGGCACGTTAAGCCGTTGGTCCCGGCTGCATTTGCAGTCGTTAATACCCTCCAATCCGCATTGGGCCAGCGTGGAGGGTCATGGCCCATCCTCCTTAACCGTCCATAAGGAAGGCCTGAGCCCCTGCAGTGGGGACGTAAATGGGCTGATGATGATGATGATGATGAAATTTAAGTTGAAAATTTAATGGTATAATAAAAACTATAAAATTATATTTTATTTGTAAGAAGATGATTAGCTGATTATTTTTGCTCAAGCTTCATATTTTACTACGTTTACACTTTATAAGGAAATTGAAAAGATATCAAAAATAATTAATTCTGCTCAAGCGCAGGGTCAAGTTATTTCATTAAAGTCACATACCGGTTACTTTTTGTCACCTTGTCACAATTTGACTACTATTTGATATTTGAATGACTTTCATAGAAACGTCAAGAGCGCGATGATAAAAACATCATATGATTTTTTTAATGCTAATTATTTTGTTGTTTTCTATTTTCCAGAAGTTTAAGCAACGAGTGCGCACGTTTCCCCACACGAATTTTACCATTGTTCATATTCACTTCCACAGACAAATTTTTGTGAGAATGTTGAATGAAACAACTGAGAAACTAACAGTGAAACACTAAGCCATTCCATCTATCTAAGGTCGATGCCAATATCAAGTGAACGGTAGCTAACGCAACAATAGTATCGGGGGGCGAGTAATCCATTTCCCGAGATATCTCCGGTCCAATCTCTGTTATTGTCGGCCTATGCTAACCGAATGGAACGTTTATTGTTTTGGAAATTTTTAACTCTGTTTGTATTTCAGTAGCTTCGCTTAAAAGCTGGGGTTTTCAGTTTAAGTTGACATAAATAATCCTTGGAAGAAATGGTAATTGAAGAGTCGTGCTTGTTGTTTTCACATAATAGTGTTTGTAGGTAAATTTGTTTAAAATAAACTATTTTTAAGGCCAAGAGAATACAAAGAGACTTTTATCTTTATAAACCCAATTAGCCCAGTCAAATTAGCTTTTCACTTCATAATGGGAGCAAATCAGCTGGAAACTCGCAAGCAATTTTATTTTGGTATTCTAAATGTTGTCTTAAAAGCCTTATTAATTCCCAGTGTCTGCGTCGTAAGTTATTTACGGTCAAAGATTATATAAAAATCCTTAACACTTATTTCGAATATCTGTACAATCCTCTTTTTATACTTAATTCTCCTTTGTAAAAACATTGTTTAAATAATGAATAAGATTATTACTTACTTAAAGAAATATGTGCCGTTACTGTAACCGAAAAAGGGGACGGTGTATGTCAACATCCAGATGTTGCCGCCGCCGCAGTCGTAATAGGGCTTCGACCACTTCCCGTCCTCGTATACGACGGACAAGATCTCGTCTGGTTCACGTTGCGTGTGCGCAGTATCATTGTATGTGTATGTGTTGTATCCTGTAAACATAACAACATTTACAGTGTGAGTTATAGCACATTTACGTATGTAAATAATAATAATAGTATTAGTTTACAATGGCAGTGTGCGAACTTGCCATCGTTCTTAATCCTATACTAATATTTTAAATATTTTTTAATATTTCCCTTTTAACTGATTAGTTACATTGCGTGATAATTGATGGAAATGCGCTCAACAGTAGTGATAGTACCTATCCAGTGCTAGAGATATTCAACAGTCTCGCTAAGGGCTCGGATTTCTCGATTTGTTAGAGCAGTCGCTCGGATTGCGAGACATTATATTACGGGCTTGAATCTCGACACAAGGTCATGAGACGGGGATTGCATAATGTATATTTCTAAGATTTTCATCACGAACAGGTAGTTGATATTTTAATATAAATATAATTTTGCCTCTGAATGTCCATCTAAAATAAGACATAGCTTAACTTCGAAACGCCCAGTCTTACGAAGCGTTTAAGCATATATATTAGTTTAATTTCATATAAACATTTTTACTTTTATCTTTTGATACATTTGTGATCTATCATATTACAGAAATGCCTAGCGCAAGACACCGGATAACGCATGTCGTAACTTTAGACATTAACTAGTCATTTGGTGGTTCCTCGTCATTGGTTATATTCATTTTCACCTCAGGCGGTTTCTAAATATGAAGACGACAGATTTGGGCGATTCCAATGTTTCGTGAAAACGGGCATATGTCTTAGGCTGCTTTTCTGCTTGAAATGAGTCATATTTTCCCTCGTATTCCGCATGGTAACTGTCAATAACCAATAAAAAAAGACGATTGCCTTACATATAAATAGGGTTCGAATGATACTTTCGATACCGTGTAGGTATCGATACTTTCTAAAGCGATACTCGATACTGAGTACTCGATTCTACAGCATGGTAAGTACACGCAAGTACTCATAAAAATTGCCGGTATCGAGTATTGCTTGATACGGCTTATTTACAGTTTCCATTTAGCTTCTATGCCTAAATTTAATAAATCTTTGGAAGTATTTTTTATAACCCAGGCATCAATATAATGTACTTCTAAGTTTTTTCAATCGTATACATTATATAAAATATATTTTTAAGAAAAAACTCTAGAAATATATTAACGTTTGAATAAAAATAAAAACAATAATAATATTTCAGAAAAATCTGTAAATAAGCATTTACTTACAAAGTTTAAATATTTTGGATAGTGTTTCATTCTAGCGTTGCTAAAATCAAACTATTATCGTTATGGTACGTTCTTCATGAAAAACCTTCCGGTTTTCTTTCATGTATAAAAAAAGTAAATTAATTTTCAAAACTCAATAAACAACTCGCATTCTATTTGTACTTTTTCGTATTTGTATTGATATCTAAGTTTGGAACTTAGCAAATTTCAGTTTTAATTTTAAAATTATTAAATAAAATCTAAAATAAAATATGTTTTATATTATTGTTCATGTCTTTCTAAATACGGAAATTTTACCCACCAAACTCCGAACACGGCAGTAAAAATTTATCTTTTAAAACTGTTTAATTCGTTCGTCAAATGTCTCCTCCTTTCGTCCAAAGAGAATTTATGTAATTTTCTATGCATGAACTTTGAATACTGGCATTGTTTAAATGTTGTCGTTAAATACTCGATACTGAGTAGTATCGATGCCATGTCCCCCGATACCAAATGAGTACTCGGTATCGATACCAGAAGCCGATACTTCGAACCCTACAATTAAACAAAAATATATAAGTATCGGACCAATACCATTGGTAGAAGGTGAGGAGAAACGACAGCGATACGGTGACATCTACGATTTTAATACGGAATCCACATAACACTTAGTATGCGCTAGGTCTCAGAATACAGCGGAAAGAAACATGCATTACTAGTATAGTAGAATCCCAATAGGGATGATGACTGGGTAAAAAAAATGCAATTCTATTTAGTCCGTCAGTCAGATAATAGAAAAATAAACAAGAAATAGTATAGATAACAGGCATTAAAGTTAAGGAGTGGGGGCTCGCTACGTCACAGTTGAGTAGAAAACGTACTCTATGACGTCATGCGAAATTTCAACTCCATGTAACGCCGTAATTTTATGATTACGAAAAAAATAAAAACATACGTGTTTAATATTTTTTAACACTCTACCTGACGGACAAACAAACAAAGATTAGTCATCATCCCTATTCACTTACTCGCATTCCAATAATATTTAAACGCATATAATAATACAATTAAGGGAAATGAAATGATACCGCGATGCATAAATGGTACAGCGCCATCTAGTCAGACTTAGAATTATTTGGGTATCTATGATAATAATGGGTGAGTTACAGTGTGTATATTTTAAACGGTAGTATTTTTAGATCAGATTTAAATAATATTTCTCTGCTTTGGTTACATCTACATTTTCTTGACCGTAATTCATCATATTTCATTTTTCTCTGTCCCTATATATGCTTAAATCTTTAAAACTACGCAACGGATTTTGATGCGGTTCTTTTTCATGGATAGGGAGATTCAAAAGGAAGGTGTTTATGTATAATACAGGACCATGCGGGCGAAGCCACTTTTTGCCCGATAAAATGTAAATACTTTTAATATGAGCTCCCAAAAGGCCCTTTGGAGGAGTTTGCTATATTTTCTTCAAAGTAATTATGGTTCACTGGCGTTGAAAAGTTCTCGACGTCTCTCATATGAGTATATGAAATTCTAAATAAGTACGTGGGATACAACTGAAGTACTTGCCAGAGAGCACAAAGTGAGATGAAAGATTTTTCTTGGTCGTTAAAAATATACTTTTGCCTAACCTACTTAAGGATTACAGGTAAAAATAATTTATTGGGCTATTACTGAAGTAGCCATAATTTATGGTATCCTTTAATAATATTAATAGAATTAGCTATAAATTAGCTCGCTGGAAAATTAATGTATTATTTTTAACTGTTCGTGGATGTTGATAATAAGGATTTCAGTGATGTAGTTGCTAGCGCGTTTGGATGGCAATTGTATAAATTAAGCGGCTCTTGTAAAGGCAGGTTGAGTGAGCAACACTTTTGGATTATCTGGAGCCGGCTATTGTTCCGAAAACCTTGATAAACCACTGGTCTGTCGGCTGTCTGCAGCCGATTACCCAATATTAGAATCCATAAATTATGAAGGACATGTATTCCACCATAAGCACACGTTGTCGATTTGAACTTTATCCTGTCTACATTTTTATGTTCTGTTTTATATAATAACAGAAACTTTATTTATTTATTAAAATAATTTTTTACTGTCATACAATGAAAGTATTTTATTGATATCGTAACGTAAGCATTCTCGACTCCAATCCCGTGGCTCATGCTTCATAATAAGTTCTAATTCAAAACAAATTTAAAAATCCTGCCTATGTGCCGCGGAAAATACAAAGTACCTATGTAAATTTGTCGATAGAATCTATGCCTATTGTTTTTTATTAGAGGGGAAATCGGTTACTTGATCAGGTAGGAAACCAGGTTTGGAACATACAAACATATAAATTCGTTTAAAATTTGCGCGGTCGGAATTGTTATCTGATTGTCCTGTGCTCTGTATTTTTCTTAAATAATGTCTGAAAAGAACTAAATATCTAACGACTTGAAAATGCTTACGAGAAAAAACATGTGTTATGGAGCATGTGTCTTACCTGATCAAGTCTACCGAATTTTCCCTATTACCTGATAATTAAAAATGTTTTATTTATTGCACTTGTCCTGAGAGTTAATAAGGAGTTGTCAGAAGTCCGCCATAAATAAATGAATTCCTCCGTTTGTTCTGAATGCCAAAAAGGTTGACCGACTCTGCCGCACTTAATGGTCGCATTATTTCGATACAAGTATATTGTCCTGGGGATATCTGATAATAAATAAATATTAGATAACATCACATACATTACTCAGATCATAAACTAACGTCCCTGTGTTACGGATATATGAACCAAAAGCACCACATATCTAGATCGGAGTCAAATATAGAAAACTTTATTTTCTATTGTCTATTTAACCTGACTGGACATCGAACTCGGGACTTCAAAGACGGTGGCATATTGCAACTGGCGTGCGAGTTACTCCAGTATACCCACACTGTTCCTCGGCAAATAGTATAACTGTGTCCATACAAAAACATTTAAAAAAAAAATCGTTTTTTAATTATAAGCGAATTTTCTGGAGTGTGTATAAAGATATGCGTAATTTCTGGTATACATTGCATAATATAAATGGGCGTCTTGTTTCTCTTGGTCCATAGACAGTTGAACTTTTCAGCAAGCATCATGAAATACTGTGTCGTAACCCTTAAGAAAACCAAAATGGGGCTAATAGTGCAGTAAAAGGCCTTGGTTATTTAAATGGGTTGGCCTTAGCCACTTCATGTGCATATCAGTTGGAGGGTAAGTCAGCAAAGGAACAGTCCCATTTAATCTCACTAATCCGTGCTGAAGAAGAGGACTACGCATTTTCCTTCTTAAAAAAAGGAGTAGTTACACTATCCCTATAGTTCCAACTGCCTAACATGTGCATATGTTTTTATATGTTGGTGAAAAGGCAACGCAGAAATATCTTGCAGGTACCAAACACGTAGTTCTATTATATATCTAAGGATAATCAGCATCGATCAATCCAAAATTAGTGATTTGCAAACATTGTCAATACGTCAACAATAGATATGTGGTGACAATCAATTCTCATTCATTAAATAAAATCTACTACCGACTATAGTTTGCTATAACAAAGAGAACACACAAGATATATCTAGTTTCCACTCCATTAGTTCATATATTAATATCCAGAACCGGCGAACGCAGATAGGAACTAGTGACAAAAGATGTGCTATAATTTTTGCGGGCCAGCGTAGCCATTTACTGAATTGTTCGCTATCAATAAAGGTATCAGCGGACCATATATTATTCGATGCCCGGCCAATTTTCTTCCAATTATCTCTCGGAACTGTTCTACGGTAGCGGAGTGCTCAACTTCCGATGGCAAAAATAATTTGTAAACGATTCTCACTGTTAGTTTAAATGCTCGTATATCTTTATTTATTTAAGCTTTATTGCTCAAATTAAAATGTACAAATGGCGGACTTAATGCCATGGGGGGCATTCTATACCAGTCAATCGGAGAGTTATAGCAGAGAGTTTAAAAGGCGGTGCAACAATGAGACAGGGCGACAAACAGTTTCAATGTGAAAAATAAAAATTAACCACATACCACAGATGAATTCAATAGATGTTTGAAGCCGCCCTGTATGTAATAGATGTTTGATGTCGCGCAGTAGACGTTTGAAGGCAAATTTATTTGGAGCAGCTTGTATGTGGGAAGGCAATACGTTCCAGAGTCGTATAGCTTGAAGCGAAAATTATTTGTAAATAAAGCCTGTCCGGTGAGAAAGAAAAGCGAGAGTTTGTTTTATGTCTGAAGGTAGATTATGGCTGTGAGAAGCATATCATTTTAATTTTCTACGGTTAAGTTAAATAATATAACGAATATTCGGAATGAGATTGAAAATCAACGCAGCTTTAATTGACAAATCCTAAATCAATAATTATTTTCACGTGACTAGTCACATTCCTTAATATTTATGTTTGGTGTTAAAAATATGAATGCAGTTTTATAAATGCGTTAATTTGTCTCTCAATGTTGTATTATACTCTACTATGTTTTGATACTGTATCCTGTGCCTATTTTAATTAATTAATCTTTTGTAACCTATTTCTCACTACTTGTTACAATATTTAAAAAAAAAATAACTATTCAAGTAACCATTATCATGAGGCTAATAATTTTCCTAGTTCCATTACTTCATACAGAAAAAAACATATGGAAATCAAAATGTTTTAATTACAATAAGAATTTTTAGCAGCAGACATGGGTGTAAAGTTGATCCTATTTATTCCCTCTCGTGTGAGGGATGAACGCATTAATTACACACAACAGTGTGAACGTCCTTGTAGCCGCGACGAGGGTTAATCAAAGTTGTTACATTGTCAGTTACGAGGCTTCAACTGACGTACAACATTACATTTCTCGAATCCTTAATTATAACTATTTGTGGCGTCAACCAAAATATTTTCAAAATAATTAAAAAACAATATTATGTTAGTAATATTATAAATTCCGTTTCAACAAAAATCTTTATATAATATTAACGTTATAGAAAATTCTTATAAAATACGACAACCATCTTAGCGAGACTTTCAAATTTCTCAAGCACTCATCGAAATAAATGTGCGAACTTTTTGTTTAAGCACATTGTCCTGGCTGGCCACTAGTTTTAATATAGTTTTAGTTTAAAAACTTTGAGAGCGAATTGACTGAGCGAAGTTGACGATATTGATAGTCATAATAACTGGCTGTAATATTTTATTTCACCATACACTGATGATAAGTAAAAAATAACGTTACTGCAATTATAACATACATTTTTAAACTATTTATTTTTAAACTTGACAACCAAATGGTATTTCAAGCAACTGATTTATGTTATCGATTCTGAACATCAATTTATTTTGGTGACTTTATAAAAAAAATACTTATAGTACTTTTTATATGTTTATAATTTTAAAATCTCCAATTAACTTCAAATACAATTAATGAATATTTCCAATATAAGGTACAAACATAAATTCTAAATCTCATCATTCATGAGGGTATGATTAATTCGTGAGCTATATTCTGTTATACGTATACTCAAGCCCTTAGGCAGAATATAATTACGTTCAATCCTATATTACTCACCTCGTCTAAATTGATTGTGATTTCGGATAACACGCTCAGCGTTCTTGCGAGCTATGTAGAACCACTCGGAAGTGTTGCTCAAATATTTGTATTCCACCGCTAAATCCTTTGCCAATATTGGTCCTTCTGGCAATCTGTACGCAAACGGGCAAAAAAGCTGGTAATCCTTATACTGATACTGGTCATAGCAATTCCCCGCAGCGAATATATCGTCATCAAACTCCACCATAGAGAATACACTTGCATGTAATAAATATTCATTATGCATAACTGAAGGCCCTGCGTATTTCCACAATCTCGTAAGCATATTTGCTCTGTTTACTGCTACGTCGGCTTCTATTCGAAATCTTTCTTGGGCGTACCTATCTACAACGCCCACACCTAAATTAAGATGGGTACCGGCTGTACAGTTTTCGCCTAACAAGTGTTGAGTTTCTATTAATCTTAGGAATTTTGTCACAACGTCTTCGTGAACACTTGGTCTTGTAATAGTAACATTTTCATTTTCACTTAAAGTTTCATTCGAATCATCTTTTGTTTCTGGCATGACATTATCATCCATTGTCAATCTTTGAGTATCATTATTATAACTATGTTCTACATTTAAAAAATGGTCTATAAGAGACACATCATCTGCGGTGGGATCGGAATTCTGAACATTGATTTTCGTAAAGTTTCCGAAGAATTTTTGGAAAACATCTGTATTGGAAGATGAGGACCCGTCATCATCATCTGGTGCTCCATAAGGTTTTAACGCTGAAGCCACTGGATCTTCGCCAGATTTATCGATGCTTTCTGAAACAAAGAAATAATAAAATTATTAATAAATATTTTGCGGCATTTGTAAAACACATTTTATTATAATTATCAAGATAAAATGAATGGTTAAATTCCAAGCAACAAATTTTAATGATATATCTTAAATGTTGTTCTTTAATGGCAAATTGGCACGATATCCGGAAAACAAATATTTAACAGATTGATCAACGTCCTTCAAGCAATTTAATCTAGGGAACGTGTTTGTATTTGACTTTGCTAATTGGGAATTAACACGCATTTTCATAGTGAAATCAGAAACAATTACCATTTTTTAATATTTATGATAAAAGATAAAATATTTGGGCTAATTCAATAGTAATTGTCTTCACTTTGTTCGAGATTAATTGTGTCGTTTGTCTTGGAGTAGAATATCGATACGAGATAATTATCATTATGAATTGAACCCTTCTTCAAGGTAACACTGCTATAAATACGTGGATTAGGAGTAAAGTATTAACGTACTTCCATTAAATCTTCAGCGGAAACAATATCTTAATCACCTTACAAATCTGCGAGAATCGTGTAAGGTAATCCTTTAATCCAAGAACATGACGCAAATTTTGACTTTATTAAACGCTAAACTGTTGTTCCGACACTATAAGGGATACATACAAAGATTCAACGTAAAGGGGATTTCACAGAGAAAGCTTGTAAAGTCTGCAATCACCCCCTATAAAGAAGGATTTTGTTTATGAGGGCAACAAATCGCGAATTTCATTACAACTGTAGGCAAGAATTGATGGCCAGGTTTATTTATTGTGAACAATTTTGCTCAACATTACGTAGTTCCGTTCTTTAAACAGTCGATACTTTGGTTTAATACTTTAGTGATATTTTATCTACGACTGAATGAAGGAAGATGCTATGCATTCAAGATGAGAGTTTGTTTGTTGTGTGTATACAAATTCGATGTTAATATTTAGTTTTTCTACGAATTTATGGACTGTGTTTCATTCTGAGTGGCTTCTAGAATCCCGCGACATGAGCTGCTATTGATATTTCCGTTCGCAATATCAATTGCATTAAGTTAGAAAAAAATATTCTAACGACCACAGGCAACTGAACCGGTATGGTATGTTTATATACCAATTCCATTCAAATAAACTTACTTGGTGAACTATAAGAACATAATACATTTTTTATAGGATGTAAATAATTTTAATGTTTCCATAGACAGTCTTCAATGCGTGCTTCCCTTAGGGGGTTTTGAGAAGATCGCGTGTCTAGACAGTCATTATGTGTGGATGGTGACGATTTTAACGTCTCAATAACAAATTAATCAATAATAAATATGAAACAACTTCCTAAATATTTCTGAAGTCTCTGATTAAGTAGCTTAAGCACTTGTGTTATGGAATTCTGAAACCACGAAAACTCCACTATACCTAGTCCTAGTCAATACGTTAAGTTAATTTTCTACATTGACCCCACTGGGGAATCGAACTTTTTAAACTGGCGTGCGAGCCCTTGAATACGGAGGTCAATTCTTTTTGGCCTTTATTATTTCAATACAATGGATTTAATTAACTAACAACACGATAATAGTAAACTCCATCAAGCATGCTTGAATATAGCAAATTTTCTTTTGTATTTATAAAATTTCAAAAAAATAATTCACATTTCAGTGTTTTACAACTAAGTGGGATTTACCAGGGATTTGTACAGTCGACACGAAATCAGATTAACCAAAACCATAAAATCTCCCAAATTTATTTACATACTTGTACCAAACAAAGTTTTATATCGATTGCGAAAATTTGAGATTTTGTGCTAACAGGGTTCTGAAAAAAAAAAAATAATATCGTACATCGTATAATATCGTATGTATATTTCGTTACCTATTCTAACTTATTTAATTAAAATAAAAAGGAAGAACGTTTGATGAATGTTAAGTTATATTGAAAATTGGTTATAATAATAATAATAATAAATTTCGGATATTGCATCAATATGGTGTTAGTAACAATTAGACTTAATTCTATCGTTAGTAAAAATAATAATTTAATTAATTAATATTTAATTTAATAATTCAATTTAATTTAATAAGAGTACATTCACATATATCCTGTTCTTTTTCCACCGTGGGAGAGCCACGCTTCGGCATGAATGGGCCGGCTCGACCGGAGTGATACCACGGCCTCACAGAAAACCGACGTGAAGCAACCTCTCATAACCCTCTGGTGTTGCAGGTGTCCATGGGCGACGGTAATCACTTACTATCAGGTGATCCGTCTGCTCGTCTGCCCCCTATCCCATAAGAATAAAATGTCCTATAAGTATGGTAATCTAAGATTAAAACTTTACACAAAACAGCAATCTGGACTGATTTTACAAACGAATCTAATAATAAATTAACAGTTTAACCGGGAAACATCTGCATAAACTAAATGGTAAGGTTTATTTTACAATAGCACAGTATAATTACTTTTGCTGGTAACAGTACTTTTTATCCTTACAAATTGATTTCCCCAGAGTAAATATCAAATTCGCATCGCTTGATTTGGCTGTCAACTAATAACAACTCCCTGTGGTACATCAATGATTTCTTCCTATTATGGAGCAACAAGAGTTGCTTCTTATTTATAAACAAAATATTTCGTATTCCTTTTATGATTGTAATTATTCAAAATTATCAATACTTCAATTAATGCGTAATCATGGCGCTTATAACAGTAAAGAATTATCGGGGAATACCATGTATCTTTATGGTAGAAGTCACGTCAGTAATGTTTTACTATATTTAAAATACTTTCGCGGTTTTAAAACCATAATATTTCATAAGTAACTTTAATAAATTTTATTAAGACTTTCGCAAAAGGCTGTTATTGAATTGGTGACCAAAATATGTATTATCTCGAGTTCTTTCGTAATTCAAAAGGCACGTTTAGTCGTTACTTCCGGCTACATTAGCATACGATAACATCAACGAATCCTCACTGGTCTAGTCCCAGTCTCCCTATTCGATTACATCCATTAGAAACGGCTGTTCCCCAAATGTGGGATATGTGTGTGGATATTATAGGCTAATCATCAAGATAATTTGGAAAAGTAGCTTAATAAAATTAAACATGCTTAAAACTTTCTAGCTTTTTCAGGTCAGAAGAGTTGAGTAAAAATTGTAGCCAATTCAAAGACCTATCCTAAAAGACGTTCAAAATCGGACCTACAAACGCAGCCCTTGGCTCGAAGCCAGTTTTCCAAGCAGCCAAACCGATAATTGCCCTTTGAATGATATATTATTTGGTACTAGGAATTAATCCTTCAGTAAGTCCGACTGCATCCAAGAACCGCTACTAGGTAAATTTGATAAAGGTTTATGGATGAGCTGGATAGAACAGTGGTCAGTATTCAGTCTGTGCTTAAGCTTAGATTAGATTTTTGATGGGTGACATATGATGTTATCCATCTATCCACTATTTTCAAGTTCTTTCAAGGTTTTGTGAGAATATTAATACAATTGAGAATTCTAACATTTCAGTAAGATATAATAACAGTAAAAACAATTAGAAGTTTTTCTGGAAGTGATTGCACTTCATTTTTTCACATTGTATTGGACGATTCAAAAGTACTTTAAAGTATTTTTGTTGAATTAAGATAGTTTGTGTTAGACTTTTCAAAACCTAAAGAAGTATAATGAATTACCAATTTCTTCGGATCGAAATAAGCGACTTATTTTATTGTACATGTGGTTATTTTCATTGAATAGGCTATGAATGTAGTGCAATGATTTAAAAAGATATTCACCTACGGGAAGCTACTTCATGCGCGGAAGATAAAGATTATAATTTACTCGAGCAAAGACGCGGGGAAAGAGCTTGTTATTTAATCAAGATAAATTTTAGCTATTAGTAACCATTGCAAATTTTACATTGTTATTTAATTTCTGATTCATGGCCTACAGATCTTGAAAAACTATTTTTACAATTGCATAATTGAAGCAATGTGTGTAATACAATAACGGAATTATAATTGTTTCAGTAATTTTGAAAATGTTAATCCTGCATAATGATTTCGGAAATCTATTTAAATACAATAATAGTTAACGAGAAACGCCCACAGAACCTATATCACAGAGATAAATACTATAATTGGAACCTGAGCCTCGATCTGAATAAACTTTGGGATTCCAATTCCTAATTCATTTACCACAAAATATTATTACGTGTAATAATAATAACAACTAGGATTTGATCATGGGAGTATATATAGTATTAAAAATAATAAAAAGAAGCGCATAGTGCCAAAAATGCACGTGAATGGTGAGTATCTACGTTATGTTAAATATATGCAATATAGATAGTTAAACAAACAGCCCAGAAATCGTCGATAACACTACTATTTTACATAGAGTTTCAATGAAATAAAAGCTTTGTTAGCTCGATATATTTTTTATTTGATTGGGCCGTTATAGACGTGTCAGCACTGATTTCGAGGACGATTTTGAGGCCGTTTATATAACTAAATAACACCACTGTACGGAATTTGCAACAAGACCTGAATAAAACAGTCTATAATTAAACTAAACAGTAAATAATAAATATAGAAACATAAATTCCATACAGTTGTCTTTAAGCTACTGTAATAAACAACAAATCAACATAATAGGGATGATGACTGGGTAAAAAAAATGCAATTCTATTTAGTCCGTCAGTCAGATAATAGAAAAATATTAGATACGTATATTTTTTACTTCAATTTAACAAGAAATAGCTTAGATAACAGGCATTAAAGTTGAGGAGTGGGGGCTCGCTACGTCACAGTTGGGTAGAAAACGTACCGTAACGTGACGTCATCAACTCCATGTAACGCCGTAATTTTATGATTACGAAAAAAATAAAAAAATACGTGTTTAATATTTTTTAACACTCTACCTGACGGACAAACAAACATAAAATAGTCATAATCCCTATTGTGGCAAGTTCTCGCTTGATTAGAACACAATATTCATAGGTATGCCATCACTGCATTTAACAATGACATTGTTACCGACAAGTGAATAACCATAACTATAGATATACGTATATAAACTAGAGTATGAAAGTCAATGATTCCTTGTAAGTGGTTTGACGCGATAAAAAAAGGATTATCGCGGGAAACCCATCAGTATTTCTCTACTCGAGCACGCATGTTTTAAGTATAATAAAATCTATTTCAATATTGAAGTTAATAAAGCAGTGCCTAAAATTATAATCAGACACACGGGTGTCGCGATGTACTCGTTCTAACAAAAGCGTTACCGCGTTATTCAGTACGACAAATTAATATTATGTGCCTAGAATAGTTTCCATTACTTTATTGAAATTACGCTTGGGTAAATGTTGGGGCGGTAAGTAAGAAATTATTATTGCAGATTATTTATATAAAGGACTGTTCAATAGGCCTCCATTATTAGTTCGGTAACATAAATTATGAAATTAATCGAACGTTAATGGTGTTTACTGTAGTGTTTGTGAAATTTTGATAGTAATAAAAAGTTCTCGGTCTGACCGAGATTTGAGAGTAGTATGCAAACTAATTTACTGTCATTCAACTCGATTCTTTATGCCAAGTGCCATTGTAATGAGACAAGGGGATAATATGTAGAAAAATGAAACATGTTTTTATTTTCATTTTCTATGTTTTCTTGGTTGGGCCGAGAACTCTTCAACTCGTATTAAATGAACACCTGGTATTGAATTAGAAACGACAAATGTAGCAGAATGGTTACATAATGGTGTTATTATTATTATGGGGAAATAAACCTGTTCCTGGTCCCTCGAAGGATCGAGGAAGGTGAGGACACACCTCGGCAGTGGAGACCTGATGGCTGGTTAGGGCGGTAGAGAGAGAAATCGGCTAACTATCCGGCGTTGGGTTTCCATCGAAAGAGACGGTGACGTCCACTATGAATACATGTGATTTCACTCGGTCCATCAGTATAATATCAGGCTTGTTGGCAAAAACTGTCCTGTCTGTAACGATGAACTGGCCCCAGTACAGTCGACCACGTTTTCAAGCACATGCTTGTTATACGGCATCTTTTCACCGAACTTGAATATATGCCTGAGTGACTCGGTTGGTGACAGGCACTACATATATGCTCTGTTATTATTATTGAACTCTTGGAATAATATATTTTTACTATATATAGAAAAATAATAGAATTACGTTGAAAAATATGTAAAATGAAGTTGACAGAAGATATAAATGAAATAAATGAACATAAAGATGTAACTTCACTGATCATAATCTTGCATTATCATCTAAAGTTAACCTGTATCCAGACTCAGTTGCAATATTTAGCGAAAACCCATACATTAGAAATTGAATAGAAACTTATACATTACGTCATAATGTATAGTAATTTATGGTGTACATTTACTAATCATGTAAATTAGAGTTGGTTCATTTAGCGTGTATTTTAATATTTAATTTCTGTTTACTCGACAATGCTACGATTTAATCACTCCGTGTTTTGAGGTAATCTTTTTTCCCATTCAAACGCGAGTTTCATTCGCTTGAATTATTAACGTGCGTTCGTCACGTACCTTCCTATACTAATATAACATGTTCAGTATCATACCTTGTCAGCGAACAGTACGTGATCTGAGAACTATAATGGTTTTTGTGGATTGACTGTGGTTCATTCGTGTATTGAAAAGCGTTCAGTTTCTTGGTACTTTTATTCACATATGATTTATGTGAAGAGAATGATTATAGCATTATTGAATGAATGCTCCTCCTACTTTTTCAACCTTTATATATCGATACAGCGTTATTGAAATAAAAATAGAGTTTACATTTGAATTTTTTTTTTCATAAAGCATTGATTCCATGTAAACAATATATTACATTTTGTACCATATTCATTGTAAAGAACCCGGATGATTTATACCCCCTCGATTGAGATTACATACATGTAAAGGATTTAAATATCATTTTAACCGACCGACTTGGACTTTAAATCGGACTGAGACCTGCGTCTCAGTCCGATTTAAAGTCCAAGTCGGTCCAAGATCTAAGCTAACCTCAGTTTATGTTTAGTCAGAATTCTTTGAGCGAATTTAAGATTTTGCTAAAATACCTGCTATCTGTTTAAAATACTTGATGATATAACAAAGAAAAACGTGGATGACCTTAAATTAAATATTGGCATCACGAATAAAATGTTCCAAGAATTTATATCTAATTTTAAGGAAAATTACTCGTCGTGCTATTATTAACTGACTTCGAAACAAAAAAAAAAAGTTTATAAAATAATGCTTATTGTTACAAAAATACGCGTTAAGGCTGTTACAATATTGATTAAAATAAGCATTAAAGAGTTCTTGTAAAATTATTGGAATCGATTATTATTATTGTGATTTTAAATATATCTATTAAATAGTAATATGTTCTTATCACCACAGGTACACAATTGTTACATGAGCGTGCTGCAACGCAATAACAGTATATTATGTATATTATATTTTTAAATTCTGGTGATATATTATTATAATTATTAATAGTATTAAAGTTGAATAAGCAAAAATTTAAATACCAACGTGCGTTAAGTAGTGAGCGATAGTCAGTTTCTTTAATTTTTTATCATGAGTCCCTAATTTATTTAATTCAGAATTTATCGACTCAAAACCAATTAACAAAGTGTGAAAATAAAGATTTTTTATTTATTTTATATATTTTCTGATAAAAAAAAGCACAATTTTTATCAGTAACTTTGTGATTTACGCGTCTTTATTTCTGTATACTTAAATTATTAATTTATTCGAGAAACTCCCAACTGATCCGATACCTAGAAGATCACTCCCTTGTAAATGATCGTCAGTATGGCTTTAGACCAAAACGATCAACGGGTGATCTTCTAGCGCACGTCATGCACCTCTGGGGTGAAGCTATAGACAAGCGCGGCGAGTCCTTGGCTGTCAGTCTTGACATTGCTAAGGCATTTGACAGGGTTTGGCACAAGGGACTTCTCTCCAAGCTTCCGGCCTACGGTCTACCCGTTCAACTATGCGCCTGGATAGCCGACTTCCTGCGTGAGCGTAAAATCCGTGTTCTTTCTGACGGATGCTCTTCGCAGCTTAGGACAGTCAATTCCGGTGTGCCTTAGGGCTCCGTTCTATCCCCTACACTTTTTCTGCTGCATATCAATGACATGCTTCCACTTGGAAATATCCATTGCTATGCAGACGACAGCACAGTGCATGTGGGATATCACGGGGCTCCTACGGTCGGACGGGCGGAAATCCTGGAGAAAAGAGAGAATCTTGTCATTGAGCTCAATCACGTTCTGGATCTCATATCGAAATGGGGTGCTGAAAACCTGGTTGAGTTCAATGCCAAGAAAACTCAGGTCTGCGTATTTACCGCCAAGACCCCCCATTCCCTTCCCTTCCCTCTCTTCAGGGCACAACCTTGCCTCTACAGAGCAGCATCAACATGCTCGGGATGGAAGTGCGCTGTGATCTGAATCCCAAAAACCACATCGAGTCTGTTATTAAAACTGCATCACGTAAACTCGGTGTCCTGAACAAGGTGCGGCGTTTTTTCACGCCCGAACAACTGTGCCTGCTATACAAAACGCAGGTCCGGTCATGCGTGGAGTATTGCTCGTACCTTTGGGATGGCTCCGCTAGGTACTTACTCGATGCTTTGGATAGATTGCAGCGCCGCGCAGTACGCATTATTGGCAATGGTGAAGTCACCAAGAACCTAGAAAGCCTGCAACTGCGCCGAGACGTTGCTTCGCTCAGCGTCTTCTACCGTCTCTACCATGGTGAATGCTCTGAAGAACTCTTTTCCCTTATCCCCCCATCTCCCTTCTTCCTCAGGACCACACGTGCTGGTTTGCGTTGCCACCAACTAACTGTGGCAACGATTCCTTCGCGTAAAAAGAAATTTGGCGACTCATTTCTTTGTCGTACTTCCAAAAAATGGAATTGTCTCCCGGCCCATGTATTCCCTCCATCCTATGACATGGGGTCCTTCAAGCGGGGCGTGAAGAAGCATCTTGCAGGTCGGCAAGGTGAGGTTGGCTAGTGCAGTACCTACGTACTGTTTTACACTAGCTGTCCTCGCGTTTGGACTGCGCCTCCACTTACCATCAGGTGGAGCGCAGTCATTTGCCCTCCATTTTATATAAATAAAAAAAAATAAAAAAAAAAAACAAATCAAAGTAGATTATTTACATCAAGTTAGTAAATACTGGAGGAGTGAAATAAAAAGCGTCTATTCGTCATCAGTTGTAATGCGAGACAAAGGAATTGAGTCAGTAACTTACATACCCGTCATTCGGGATTCTTATTTATCTAACTACATAACAATGATTGATTATTTTGTCTTTTACGGAGATCACAGTGTGTTGAGTTAATTGAAGATAAAGCGGTAACATTTTATAAGTTATCAATTATGCGAAAACACCTGTGGTATTTTTCCATCATTTCTAGCAGTTTCATTACTTAGAAATTCGGTTAATTTAAGTGTCATCTTGTTCGGATAAGAGCTTCATGGATATAACGAAATGATATAGAATTTAACATTTATATTCCAATATTAAACAAGAAACCAACCTTCTTAAGTAACATAGGTTTTAAAAATTTGATTTTGTTTACATTGAGAAATCAAGGATATGCCATTTTATACAAAATTTACATTTTCGACATGATTTTCGAACTTAATATAAATTGCAGGCAGAGTACAATTACCTTGCGGAATTAGTCATATTGTAGTTACCCGACGTTGCAGTAGTGAGTAGGTACCCACAGGATCCTGTGCAGTACACACTGCTGCAACGTCGTTGATAATTTTGTAACCTATACTCATAGTGAGTAATTAAATATAAATAGGTCAGAAAATTAAAAAAATATCTTAATTGTGTTTTAAACCTAAATTAGGTATAAGTAACATTAATAAGGTTGACACTATTTGAAGAAATTTAAAGAAGTTATCGCACACCTGATATGCTATCGATTGTAGGTACGGGTACCAGTGGGCTAATTAACAAATTTCAAAATCGATCGCAATCATTATATAAAGTTTAATGATTTGTGTAAAATTTTAAAGCCGTGTTCTCTTTTGGGACGAATGATCATTGAATGATAAAAAAAACATACCTGATGAAAATTTAGGCCCAAACAATTTAGGTCTGATGAAAATGATTGCAGTTAGCGTACAACTCTTTCATTTGACATTTCTCTACACTTTTCAAAGATTTTTGGGTCTAACTCTTGCCTTAGACAATTCAATGATATCGTTAATTCAATATATTTAAAAAATGTAACGGTCGCAGTATCTATCGCAGTCAAATAATTGTAGCGTGAAGTTAGTGAACATTTTTCAAACGTCTAATTGCAATAGAATTTATTGACCCACAAACATAATCGTAAACAAGAATACAGTAAAAAAGAGAAAAAAAAAATGCGAGGCCAAGATGGACCCCTATCTCAGCAAAGACCCTAGTATCTTTTATAGATGGGCAGAATGATACTAAGGCGCTGTTATTCTGATTCTTTCTTTAGAATTTTAATAAAATTAGACTGTTAGCTTGTCTGTCTGTCCGTCCACCCATGTAGCTCAAAAATGATGGATACTTTATTTTAATTTGACATGAGTATACACTTTGATCATGCCAACAAATTGATTAAATAAAATCTTGGATTAAACATTTTAAGGGTACCTTTCCTACATGTGAATTGAGGATGATAATTTTGTTTTCTTTCCCATTGTATAGTGTGTTGTTGGATAGGTCTTTCATAAATATTGGGTGTGTGGAAAGACGTCTTACGATTTAGTGAACCATTCGTAACTTATTAAGCTTTAAAATGCCAAATTCTCGTTAGAATCAAATGTCCCCCTCTACCAACTACAGAGGTACAGTTGTTGTTAGAAATCCAACGTCACGGCAGTAGTATCTCTATGTAACGAAGTAAATAGGAAAACTTTAAGAATTAAGTTTGTTTTACAGGTTAGCGAGTAATAATGGACCAATTGTAATTTACTCGAAAATTTGGAACAACACTATTGAATTTTCTTGATGAAAAATGCTTAAAAATCCACTTTGTACCTGGCACTCTGAGATGGGACTCGAACTCATGACCTTTCGTAATCCGGGCGACATGTTTTCAGCATTCTTCATTCAGAATATTTTCCAATATAGCCTTGTGAATGCTAATTTGATCAAATACAATGATAACAATTAAAAATAATAATCACTTCTTAAAATATCGTTAAAAATGTGTTCTTAAAAGA